ACAGCTCCCAGCTCCAGCTGCCATGTGTTCCTGACTTCAGTAGTCATCCCAAACTGAAGAAAAGTTTTAAAACACTATAAAAGATCTCTATAAATGTCACTAAAAACCAAACAGGTACCAGGAAATGAGCAGCAGAAGCTCCTGGCTCCTACTTGATCTTGCTCTACAATATTCATTGTCCAACAGGTGTAACAAGAAGTGCCCAGCTGCACCTCCAGGGTGGACAGGTGGGAGGAGGGACATCCCATCCCACCTCCCACACCAGCACTTGTGGATGCTCCCAGACACACTCACACAAGGATGCAGTCTCAGCAGGCTCACCTTGTGCCAACTGCAAATGCTCCAAGTGCCAGCACACAGAGGAAGGGCAGGAGGTCAGAGATGGGGGGCACGTCCCCCGAAATTTCCATGGAAATCTATTTCAGCATTGGCTGTGGCAGGGTCTTAACAAGGTCTGCAGTGTTTTAGGGATGTCAGAAGGTTGAACAGGTCAAGTGAGAAGATGCAAATGCTGTCAGGTTATTTCTGACCAGGACACATTTACAAGCAGTACAGCTATTTATAAACACATAAAAATAATATGAACTTAACCTTACATTTACATTCTTTCTTAGTTATATTTTGCTTATCTGAAAAAAAGATTTAAATATGATTACTGGTCCATTACTGAGTTTGAAAAGCCTTGGGGAATAGTACAGAACACATACGGGCATCTGTAATCTGCTTACGCAGATGCGTGAAAATCAAAGACAAAACTTGCTGAGGTGACAAAAATGTCTTAATTCAATTTGTAATGCAGCAGCACAAGCTCTGTGTAACATTAAATTTGTCTAAGAATGTGGTTTAAATACCATCTTTGTTCAGGTAGCTCCCACATGCTCCCTGTGATCCAGGCACGCAGACAGTAAGTGAACAAAATAGAAAGAGTTGCAAGTTTCAGCTGGCCAGGAACGACTCATGCCAGACAGTGACAGATCTGTTCAGATGGGAACATCTGCTGCTACTGCTGAGGATACCAGGAATGCTTGGACCAAATCTATCCTATAAAAGGTTGGCAGATTGATGCCACAACTCAGGCCAAACTTACTAGTGCAAGCATGGTTTGTTCGGGTTTGCTCTTACACCACTGTCATTTACACCAGGCTCTCAAACTAAATAAATTAAACCAGGGCAATGGATCTACACTAAGGCAATTGCCAGGACAAAGAGTGCTACCAAAAAAAAGGTTTCTGGCTGATTTGTTACAGAAGAGAAAGCCAAGAGCTAACCTGGCTTGAATATAACCGCTCTGGGATGCACAGCAACGTCACCTTGAGCCAAACCACCCTTTGTCCTGTGGCGGTTTCTTCCTGAGGAACCCTCCTTTTCTCAGGCTCAGGAACATACCACAAGATGTTAGAGATATGCAGGGAGACTCCTATGCTTTGTAAATGGCAGGATTTGCTCCAGGGGCACACAGAGGGATTATATAAATCTGTACATATATGGGAATTCTGTAGGAATTCACACAACCACCCCAGACCTCACTGCCCTGAGAGAGCTACCAAACCATTTGGCATTAAGCAGTTGAGCCAAGACCTCAAGGATCAGACTACCAGAAAAATTAAACTTCTTACTGGTCCCACTGTAAAATTTGAAAATGAAAATGAAACAGGCCATTTTTATTTTTCTGTACTTGCAGAAGGCACCCTATGGGTCAGACAGGCAGGTGGGACCCATGACACCAATAACACTTCCAATATGTTTCTGTGCCCCTTCATGCCTTTTTTTCTCTCCCCACTGAAGCTGCTATCTTTGAGCTGCATGGATAATCCAGTTGCCAAATAACTAGTGGGAAAACACATCACTCTAATTTACAAGTGTCCTACTCATAACCAGTCAGCCAAACAGCTTCCATGCAAAACCAAAAAACAGGTAACGCTCCTCTCTCTGTGGCTGCACAAATCCTTCAGCACACACAGACTCTGCTCACACCCAACCACCCCCTCACAAAGTTCATGCCTACTTATTTTCCTACTCACACCCTAAACTAGGCATTCATGCAAACCCTACAGTTTCTGAACTCGCCCACCAACTTGCCCACAGCCACAGCACATAATGACACAGCCAGACACTGAAAACACCACATCAACTCATACTTCCACTGCTTCACTTCAAGTTTTATTCCAAGTTTTACTTCTGAAATTACTTAATGGATTTTTCCGAGCTTTATATTGGAATTTTTCAAATGAGAACAATCTGAATCAATTGGCATTTGGAGACTGTAACAGCCTGTGGTACCAAAGCTTTGGAATCAGCTACCCTTAAAATACAGAGGCAGAAAATTCTCGTGTCTCCTGCAATAACTGTTTACATAGAGGCCTAAACTGATTTGCTTTTAAAAACCAGCACTCAAAATAAATGGGACTTGCACAGACTAGGTATGAGGTGGAGATTAATTTAATCTCCAAAAAGAGCCACTGAAACATTACCCTTGGCTGAAAACACAATGCTCCAACACTGGCAACATACCTCACCAATTCTACCCAATGTGAAGACCAGCTGGACTAAGAGAGAGATCCTGGAGTGATAAAAAGAAGAAAGACAGGCAGCAAGTGACAATTAGGCTCTGCAAAGTTAGGTAATACAAGTGTGTTTCCTAATGTGCCATATAAGAATTAGGTATACGTATTTTTGGTTCTTTACATCTTGAAAGCCTGAGGAGAAGACATGAGTAAGCTTAACAAAAAAAAAACCAACCCCACACTTAATCATATTTATATATTAATGCATGTAACCTACTTTCACACATAGTTAATGAGTTCCTTCATGAGATTTGAACCTGAACAATTCTGAGTTTAAAAAAACCACAACTCTAATGACTACAAGTTTTGTTGCTAATGTAGTTGTGTCTGGAGCTCTTATTCCTCACACACACAATTAACCCATGTTTCCCCAGTATGTTTTTCAGAGATTAACAAAATGCAAAATTTAAAATGAAATTCTGTGAAAAGGCACTTCTCCATAGGATAATCTACAGTACCTTTTAGTTAAGCATTTTTTTTTCACAGTAAAAAAATTGACATTTTCTGTAAACTCATCCTGCTGTAACAGTTGAGCAGCAGTTTTTCCAAGGACATGACCTCTTACCACCTACAGCAATTCTTCTGAAACTCAATGTCAGGCATATGGTCATCTAAAATATGATGGCAAATGACCTAAAAAGCATTCAGGCATTTTGAAGAGTATGAATCAATGGCTCATTTCTATTTCCTATCTTTGATTTCTTTCACCACAGTCTTCCAAACCTGCTTCTCAAGACAAGTAGCAGTAAAAAATTATTAGTAGTACATAGGCTCCACCATGTCCTTTTCACAAATTCTTGATGATTTTCCTTCTCAGTGCATTTTATTTCATATCTCAGTTCTGCTAGCTCAATCACTGCAGAGAACTGTTTACTTAAGTCTGTGCATGATCACTGCTATTTAAAAGTTATTTACCAGCTTCATATTCTATTTATTTTTAGTTTATTTTTGTACTTGAGAATGTTGAAGTTGTACAACAACAGTTACCAAAAGTACCATATTGCCTAAAATCAGATGATGTGACACTGCAGAAGGATGCATTTTTCTGACTGTAGCATAAAGAATCCCTATCCTCACCTAGCAAAAAATGCAAATTTTATGACAACTTCACAGGAAGCAGCAGCTGGAAGAAATGTCCAAACAGTACAAAAAGTCTGCTACCGGATTTATGCTAATCTTGTGTTTAAATGGTACTGAAGGTCTGCCCCTACTTTATACATGAAGACAAAACAAATGCCTTTATTACCTGCAAATGAGTGGACTTAAAAACCCTTTGAAATTAACCACTTGTACGTTTTGTTTACCCTCTCTGGCATGCAGATATGTACCATAACATCTCACAGAGGGTATATTATTTTCACCTGATGTCACTGGACTTGTCAGCATTGAGTGTGATGGGGTCAAACTGGTGTCAGCAGGATTTCCATGACCTGGGTTTCCCTGCACACACAGCCCAGGAGCAGCTGCTTCCCAGGCACCTCGGAAACCATGACTGTGCTAATGCAGCTCGTCCTCCCCAGTACTCGCTGTCAAGTGGCACAGTTCTGCCTGCACATGCTGGTGACACCCCTGCCAAGAGCTGCCAGCGATCCTGGCACAGCCAGGCTTTGTCCCTCTGGCAATTTCCAAGTGATGTTCCTGGATGAGGGGGGCACAAGTGATGGGGAGACAAACCCATTTGTATTTTTATTTCTTAATTTAGAAGCCAATGTACTTCAGAACCCATGACCACCACCTGGAGCCCTGTCTTGCTAAAAGGCATTAAGAAGAAAAAAAATGATGCTGAAATGCTGACTCGGTGCGGCCGAGGGACACACACAGCCCAGCAGCACCTCACAATGCCCCTGGGATGCTGCCCCTCGGCCGGACACCTCCCTCACCATCCTCACAGCTCATCCTTTGGAGGTTACTTGTTCACATCAGGCTCTTGGCAGCAATAAAGTTGTTGGGGGGGGATTTTTTCCCCTGGTGGGTGACAGCCCCTCAGAGCTGGAAAAAGCAGCGGTGTGATGCCGAGAACACGACGGCTCCTGCGGAGGGGCCGGGCGGCACCGGCCGGAGGCAGGAAAGGAGGGAAGGAGGGAAGGAGGTGGCCCAGCAGCTGCTCCCACAAAATCACAGAGTAGCTGGTGTTGGAAGGGACCTCCGGAGATCATCCGGTCCTGCTCCTCTGGCAGGGTCACCTGGAGCAGGTGACACAGGATCGCGTCCAGCTGCGGTTTGAATGGCTCTGGAGAGGGACACTCCACACCCTCCCTGAGCGCTCGGGCCAGCTCCGGGCCGAGGCGCACCCAGGGTCCGCAGACTTCCCCGCCGGCCTTCCCTGACTCCTTCGTCCTCACACGCCGCGGATCCCGCTCCTTACATAACCCGGGCCCCGCTCCCCGGAGCGCGGCCCCTCCGAGCGGCCCCCGGGGGCTGCGGGCCCGGCCGTACCTGATGTAGGGGCTGGCGGCCGCCAGGATGTTCTTCTGCACCGGGATCTCCTCGCCCTCCAGCACCAGGTGCGCGTCGCAGAACCGCGTCTCCTCCCGGAAGGAGCTGAGCGCCCGCAGCAGCCGCGCCGGGTGCTGCGGGTCCGACACGGCGCTCGGGCCCGACATGGTGCTGCTGCCGCCGCCGAGCCGGGCCGGGCCGGGCCGGCTCAGTCCCTGCCCTCACACCATGGCTGAGCGCCCGCCCGCCGCTGACATCATCTCCCGGCATCATCTCCCCGCGCCGCCCCGCGGGGGCGGCCCGGCCCGGCGGCCCTCGGGCACCGCGGCCCCTCCGCGGGCGGGGCGGGGACGGCCCGCGGAAATCTCGGCTTTGTCGCCTCACGGCTTTGGAATGTCACTAAAGGAGGTCCAGAGAAGGGAACGGAGCTGGGGAAGGGGCTGGAGCACCAGGAGGGAGCTGGAGGGGCTCAGCCTGGAGAAAAGGAGGCTCAGCGGGGACCTTCTCGCTGTCCACGACTCCCTGGCAGGAGGATGGAGCAGCGGGGGCGGTCACACTCTTGTCCTGGCAACCAGCGACAGGACAAGAGGAAATAGCCCTAAGCTGCACCAGGGGAGGTTTAGGTTGGACATTAGGAGAAATTTCTTCCCAAAAAGGGTAATCGGTCATCGGAACGGGCTGCCCAGGGAAATGGTGAAATCACCATCCGTGGAGATGTTTAAGGAAAAGCCTGGAAGTGGCACTCGGTGCCATGGTCTTGGTGACACGGTGGTGTTTGGTCACAGGTTGGACTCGATGATCACAGAGGTCTTTTCCAATCTAATTGATCCTCCTGTAAACCTGGCCTTTTAGAATTTATTTATTTATTTATTTGTTCCCTTACATGAGCTGGAGGTGAATGTTAGGGGTATAGGCACAAGGAAAAGTAAGAGAATTACCTACTTGGAAAATTAATTAGGGTATCTGGAAGTGACCCTGTAGGGAGGAGAAAATAATGCCTTCACAAAGGCAGCCTTGTTCTTTCCAAGCTGGACATAATGATGGTTTGTTCTGCAGATGGAGACTGCAGCTGGGACATCCTCACACAGCCAGCAGTCCAAACCCTGCACCCAGGTGAAGAGTATGCTCAGCCCTGTTGGAGCCAGGCTTTACAGCTGAACCCTTGCTGAAGTGCTCCCTGACTGGAGAGGGCTCACAGGGAGGAGCACTGTGCTGCAGGTTTGTTGTGCAGCTCTGAACAAGAGTTTTAGAAGCAGAGGAAGTAGGACAGAGGCCCAACCCCACAGCAGTGTGCAGGAAACACCTGTGGCTCTGCAACACTTGTTGTCGTACATAGCCATTTACAAAGATTAGAAGGCCACTTTGTCTTGCTTGGCTGTAATTATCCAGGATGTCAGGTGTCGGTTGAGGATCCAGAGGACACATTCTCAGCTCTCTTTGAGGGTAATGAAGGTAGAGAGCACACTGCTCCTTGGCTGCAGGGGAAGATGTATTTTGCTTGTCATTAATAGTCAGGTAATTGCAGACCCAAGGGAGCAGTGGTTTAAATTATTGCAAAAGCTGTCATTGAGTGGCCTGATTATTGAACAGACACCGGTGTATTTCCCTGCCACCTGCACAGGTTGTTACAGAGGAAACATTGTCACATTTCTGGTTTTTAACACCTCCTTGTAAACACTGTTTTGCTTCCTCCTGCTGCCTATGTGGGGCAATGGGACAAGATAATATCCAGTTCCAGAGAACAAATTCATTGTTATACCTTGTTATTTGTTCAATTTAATGAAATGATTAACAAAAAAAACCGAACAAAAAACAACCCCAAACCAAAACAGCAACAAACCAAACCACTCTATCAAGGTCCATTTGTAGCATCTCTGCAGTAATTAATTATATGTATGCATACCCGTGGCATGATTCACTCAACTATGGTTTTTTTTTTAATGGAGGTACTTATCTTTACCATTTTTTATTTGCAGTCACTACATCTAGATTTGTGTTAAGCTATCATTATAATAATTCCATAAATTTTGTCAGGCTAATTTATGACTTAAATTGGTGCAAAGGAAGAATCAAATCTTTCTGGCCTTTGAGATTTCATCCACAGTGAAGGGTGTCAGAAGCAAACCAAATGACATTACCACATGCCATGTTACCACATCAAAAAAACCCTATGAGCCTTGCAGCCACTTGGCAAAGCATATCTGCATTTCCCCTTGCTTCTGTCAGCCTGGAAATGATAGTGTGTTACCATATTCAGGGTAAATGTTTCATCAGATTGGTATTTCAGCCGCTAAAAACATTCTTGAACAAATTTGTGATTAGCTGTATGGCTTTATTTCTATTGTCTCTGCTGCAGGAGGATACTGGGATTAGCAAATGCGGATTTACATCACTGTTTTTCTCCTTAGGTTAACTATAAACTTAATGCTAATCAAATCCTGTGTAGTACTGACCAAGGGAATATGGCACATCTCATTTAAAAAATCATACCCAAGACAAGTTCTTATCATTTGTTCTCTGCATTATTTCTGCATTAATGTAAATAACACATTTGCTTTCTTAGACTACAGGTTGTTTTTATGATGAATGTATCCCTTATCCTGTCATCTCTACCAGTAAAAATTATCTCCTCAGAAGTTAAGAAACTCCTGTATCCAAACCCATTATCATCCAAAAACAATCCTGTGAGTACTACAGAAGAAATTCTGGAGACAAACTCTTAGAAGGAAATCTGTAACAATGGTTAGACTTTAGATTCATTGCTACCTTGTAATTCTAGAAATGTACTTGTGGACATTTGTTAAATCCAAACATTTTCATATGAAAAGAAACAACCCCAGAGCTGATGTCTTTTGCCAATATCATGAGTCAGTCTTCTCTTCCAGTAGTGGTTCCATATTCTTTACAAAAATGGAATTAATCTTTTTCTTTAGAAGATAAAGTTCTATCAAATACTAATGGTAATATGCCTTGAAAACATTAAAAGTGACTATTTCTGCAGACACACCTTACTGAAGTGTTTATTTCCATTTTATGGAACATGTAAACATTTGAATGCCCAAACCTGCATATTTTAACTAGATGTGATCACAGTGTTGGTGTTTTTTTTACATTAAAAGTAGCCTGTATATCCTAACAAAGTGCAAAGACTTAAGCAGAGGAACAGAGGTCTGGTTGTTACATAGCAGACAGGAACTATGGATGATGTTGGTTCAGTTCCTGCTCTGCCACAGACACCTTAGGTAATCACAAACAGGTCACCAAACACAGATTCTCATGTGGTGGGGAGGTAGTAAATGACAACAATTTCATCCTGTTTCCTTCCTGTGAAGCTCTGTGAGCAGCACAGGCACTGAGGGAAAGTGTCTGTCAAAGTGAGAGGTACCTGAGTTGTGTGGTGATACAGATAGACCAGATGAACACCCAGAATGGATGGATGTGCACCTGGTTTTCTCCATCAGTAAAGATGCCTCCAATAGCAAAGAAATCTACAATGAGAAAATACAACCGAAAGCAAAAAAGCTCTCATTTAAAGAAAAGTCAATATCTCAAATCAGGAATATATTCAGGGGGGTAAGAAATGCCATTTCTGTAATACAGCCAGTCACACTGTGCTTGGCACTTGAACTTTATGTTAAAATGTGCTTTTTAATTGTGACTGTGAGTGAGAGTTGTGCACTTTCATTAAGAAGCATCTGGTACAGGCAAGGATAAACACGTGAGAACATGGTTGCTCCTAAGCAAACATAAGGCAAATGCTTAGTTATGGCAATAACTGCTTCTTCTAGTTTCAGCTACTGTGGGGTTCAGATGAGGCCTAAATTAGATCTTTCACTCTTTCCCTAAACTATTTGTTGCACATGTGTGTCTGAGTTCTGCTAGAAATACACTGCCCTTGTTCACATACATACTGCTATTAACAGAAACTAGTGGCAATAGCAAATCTACAATTCTTCTTACCTTTTACACAATGTAATCATCTAATTACATGAAATGCCATGGAAGATATCTTGCCCAAGGAAAACTGACTTAAATACAAACTGCTTAAGATTGAATGTCACTAAAGTATAATTGAATGCTACATGTAACCATGTACTCTATTTCAATAAAGTTACCTGGTTTTGTCAACATAAAAGCAAAAAATACACCATGAAATTATTAGAAAAGCAGGGTGGGGGGAGGTAAGGTACTGGATAAGAAAAATGTAGCACCTCAGCATAATACTTTGGTTATGGTAGAGTTTAAGAAATCAAGCACCAAGAGAATACATTGCCATGAATTATTGGTATCATGGTAGATAATTTAACATGAGGTTTTCTGGCAGGAGAAAACTTACATTGTCAGCTGCAGTCTTGCAACAGCCCATGGAAGTTACATGACCTGCAGGCATGTGTGACTCATGTCATGTCTCACCCTATGAATACAGTACTTCATTTGCTCAGAAAGCTTTGTTCTACTCAAATAAAACATTTCTTGTTACCTTTGTCTCCTATTCCTTGCCCCACAAGCTGTATTCAACATTAGCACTTCATATTGATAATTATTATTTTGGAATAGTGATATACCTAATTTGTAAAAAAGTAATTTCTCTCACTTTTAAGAGATTATATGTAGATATTGAGGAGGTTATAATCATAATTCTTATCTTAAGATATCATTTCTTATCATAAGAGAAGGCTGTTCCTGAAGGATACTATTCCACATTCAGTAGAAGGTTATGTCATCTGTGTAATACAACAAAATAGATTTTACTCAGTCTCAGTTTTCTTGTCTTGCTGTGGTATAAACATTCCGTGCAGGTCCATATGCATTTCCACATTTACTGTGGCTCGACCCAGCTCTGTGAATGTTTTAGCATCCAAGATAAGTAGGAAGGGTGGATCCTTTGGATCAGTCTTCACAACACAAGTCAGAACAACCCCTGTGACATACAAATGAGGAATTAGAAACATATAAAAGTTTCACTAAGCAGAAAAGATAACCCCATCTCAAAGTGGAAGCATCAACCCAACTTTCTTGACTAAGAATATTGAAACTTGCAAGATTTAATATAAAACTCGTGTAACCCCAGCTTTCAGAACATTGTCATTATTTTACCATCATCCTCTTCTTTTGCATCAGGGCTGGGAACAAAGACAGGCTCGGATGGCCAGCAGTCATCCTGTCCCC